CAGACAATCCAGTGATCAACAGCATGAGCATTGATCTGCACAATTGGGAACCGATGACATGTGTCAACTAAGTCAGCGAACCTGACCACCCGATCCTGTTAGTCGCCTCTTACGATAAACATGGGTTACTGAAGATCAATATTCTAACCCGGATCTTCACGGGTCGCAGCTGAACAGAATGATATCTTTTACATATAACCAACACTATACTCTATCACAGTACCTGGCTACAGGGAGCTGAACACTGACACGTAAGGCCTCGTGTGTACTGATCAAATATAACCCACCAGGTGTGTTACATTAGCAAGAGCCATACAGCAAAACCATATGGATTTTTTCAGGGTAATCTCCATGATTGCTTCTCTGCAGGCAAGCTTTCCTTTGAACCTCTCAACTTCAATAAATGTGTGTTTTTTCCCTGTTTCTGTTAAATAATGTTTGTTAACCAGCTCAGCTGCCTGATAATGCATACTATTCACTGTACTTCGGCTTGTGATTTGGGTTAGAGTCTTTTAACTTGATCTTTTACAAAGTGATCAAATTTTAGTATGACTATCCTTTAAAGAAAATAACGTTTGTGCAGACATGACTGTGAACCCTTGCATGACTTTTCAAGTTTATATGACCGTAAACACTACAAGGTCAATAACTAGATGTGAACATCCCACGAAACAGACTCCACAGGGGATGAAAGACGCAACAGCAGTGAAAATTATATGACTGGATCACTGAAAATCTGGGGATGACACCAGGTGTTCACAAATGATTACAATCCTGAAAAACAATACAATATTCTTCTTCAAGCAGCTGTTATCTTGAGCAACTTAATGAAAATCAATAATAAATATACATTTAGAAGAAAATATACCTAAAAGTAACCATTACAGGTAAAATATTGTGTTATTTTGTAGATTACAGATTTTTTGAATAGAATGATTGTTGAACAGAAACAACAAAAATTAAAAGAGGACGTTTAATTATATTTTTTTAAAATGCTGTCGCGTTTAGTGATAAGCTAGTCTCATCAGTCTTGCAGTCTGTTTTAGCTGAAGCACAACATTTAGGTGCTAAACAAGTAAAATTGAAGGGACATGAGAGAAACAGAGGCTTTCAAATTGTTTTTCCATTTTAAGGTTGACAGAATCCTTAAAATTAGGTAAAAAATAACCATTATGACATTTCATACAAACGTCACTAAGAGAATTGCAAAAAACAAACAAGTTCATCCCAGTAATCCTCAAAGATGTAACTTACAGCACATATAAAGAAAAAAATATCAAAAATAATATTGACGATGAAATAACAGTCAAGCACTACTACCTCTATCTCACCAACACCAGCTGTGGTTTGAGAGATACATGAAAACCTGGAAAACCCCACTTCCAAATTAGTCTATCATAGTGTTGGTCATGTGACCACCGCACAGATCATTATGACCTTACGTTCGATCGTCGTGAATTAACCGTACAGTACTTGTCAAGCTTGCTCCGTGTCACACTGTTACTTTAAACGGATATTTCTGTTCTGCTATCAAAATTTCACATGTGCCAATTTACCTCACGGATAACTTCAAGAGAAAAATACTGTATCATCAGTACTCGACATTCTATGAATAGATATTTTAGTTATTTCTGACTCTGCTTTCAGGAATCCATGTAAACAGACTTCGGAACGAAACTGTTTTAGTGTACTAACATGGAGGCTGGTTTTCAAAAAACAAATGCATGACATTGCTTCTGAACTGACCTCATTACTAATGCATTTTCCTCCAAGATAAACATAAACCGATAAACAGGCTGACAAAAAAAGCTTTTCGTGATTTCCTCAATCAATATGACTTAGCAACACTGAAAGTGAAACTATAAAGTGATTTAGTTCAATGATAACAAGCAGAGTTAGACTCTCAACATGTCCTTAGCTCACCTTGTTACTATGAGAAGAAGATATTGCTAAAAGCGACATAAAACCGAACTCGCTCACCCATTAACATCTGAGATTGTGTCCAGCCTGTCAGGTGTTGTTTGAGCAGTTATGAAGAATAGGCTCATGTGTTCAGGCACATATTTTTCACTGTCACTTGAGGTGAAATTTCACACATAATAATCCAGTATAGTATAAAACCTAGACAAACATATCAGTTTCTCTTCATCTCCTGGAACTAGATCTCTGTCCCCACTCTTACCTTGTAGATGTCTTTTTGCATATCTCGTACCCTACCTTTCTACCATTTATACACTCTCTCCTTCACAGCTTAACGGTTAATCTGTCTGTCCCATCCTCACACTTTCCCGCATAACCCTCTCTGAATAAAATCGCCCTAACCCCTGATGTAATGCACCCTAACCGCTTCTCCAGAACTGCCTCCATGGTGTAGTGGTTAGAGCATCCGCCCGGAGAGCGGAAGGTCGCAGGTTCGTTCCCCGACCGCGTCATACCAAAAGACGTTAAGATATGGTACTTGCTGGTCCCTGCCTGGTGCTCGGCATTAAAGGGTACAACAAGGACTGGTCGGCTCAGAGTCAGTATAATGTGTCTGAGTGGGGTATTCATGCTTCACTGCGGCATGGTATCTCAGTGGGCTAGCACTATAAAACCAGCTTAAGTCTGGGCTAGTACAAGCAGCCGTACATACACATACACACGCATGCACGTCGTCATATGAGCGAAGTATTCTCAAGCACGACGTAAAACCCAATTTCACCTCACCTCACCTTCTCCAGACACAAGCCCCGGTCTAGTCTCACCCACATCCCCAGTGTCACTGCTCAACAGTATCTCTGTCTGCCCACACCATCACACATTTCCTCCTTCGCCATGCATCAGAATCTCTCCCCCACAAATGCCTTCTAATGATGTCAAGCTCTCCCCCTCACCCCCTCATTCTACAGGAGCCAACACCCTCCCTCATCCCATCTGGACTAACGCTTAGTCTCTGAATTATATAATTCAAAACATCCCATCCACATCCCCACTGTCACGGCTGGAGGGCTAATATGCTTGCCCACAGGCTCACATTTTCCTCAAGTGCAGGACTGTAGACTATATGTATTTTATAAAAACAAAACCAGCACTAGTCCACTTGAAATAGGGCACCAGAACACATTTTGTGAGAGAAGAGAAATGCATAATGTAATTGAAGATTTCTATATTTTAATCTTAACCTTAACATTCCCTCCTTCGCCTCACTGCATTAGTCTCTAACCTAGAATTGCCCCCCCCCCCATCCTCAGTGTCTAAGTCAACAGTCAATCTAGCTGTCCCCACCCTCAGTCTTTCCCTCCCCTCTCCACCATGAATTGCCCCACACTTGCTCACCCCCTAACTCTCCAGAAACCAATACCCTTCCTCATCCCACCCAGATCCTCAGTGTAACCGCTCAACAGTCAATCAAGCTGTCCCCACTCTCAGTCTATCCCTCCCCCTCTCCACCAAGACTTGCCCCACACTTGCTCACCTCCTAACTCTCCAGAAATCAACACCCTGTACTATCACACCCAGATCCTCAGTGTAACCGCTCTAGCTGTCCCCACCCTCAGTCTGTCCCTCCCCTCTCCACCATGAATTGCCCCACACTTGCTCACCCCCTAACTCTCCAGAAACCAATACCCTTCCTCATCCCACCCAGATCCTCTGTGTTACAGCTGAACATAGTCTGTCATACAGACCCTGAAGCAAATATATCCAAGAAATCCCACGTAAGTCTAGAAAATGTGGCAAGTCTAGATTTCCTCAGCTTTAAAATGAAGAAAGTCTCAGGGCTCCTTTTCAATATATTTTATTTATTTCACTATTAGCTTTTTTCTGTAAAATATGTTCACTTCAGAGACTAGTTGTTAGTCTAAGCTCAATAGTCAATCCATCTGTCCCCACTGTCTTTCCCTCTCCGCCAAGAATTGCCCCACCTCTGATTTAAACCCTCCCCAGCTTCATCCACACCAACTGGGGGGGGACTCTGATTGAACACAGCTCATGTCAGCTGATCCCCTGAACTGACACCCCCCTCCCTTCCCCCCCCTTCACTCTCAGCTTCTGTGGAAGAGATAAGGTGCCTGCCAACACATGTGGATGAAATAACCCAGCAGCTGATGGCTTCCACAAACACAGGTGTACCCTGATACTTTCTTGCTCTTAGTCATAAACCTGGAGAGCTTTCAAAACAAGCCACAAAGATTCTTTGCAGTTTTCCATACATTTCATCAAAAGGGAATCTCCTGAACATGTAGCTGTTTGCTAGTGAGCCAACAGCACATAACCGATCTCTGTTTTACAGGTATGTCTATCTCAACATTAAAACAAAATATGCACATTTCTCGTCACCATCTGTGCTATTAAGTTTATGACCAAAATATAATACTTTAGTATCTAAGAAACCAGTACTCCAGACATACCATGCAGACTAACTTATGACATTTGTTAAGCAACACTTTTTTAATTGTTTTATATTGGTTTACAGATTCCGCAACACAATGTGAGAAGAAAATATTAAGAATAATATTTGTTTAATTCATAAATACAAAATTATGTAAATAGATAAATAAACTGGTTAATCTGCAAAACCAACAAGAAAAGCGGTACCAACATAATTACAATATTATGATAACTTTTTTATTAATGAAAATAAACTCATTTTAAATACATTTTGCATATCTTAATTTTCTTTTACCACCTATCTGCTACCAATCAGGAGATTTTCACACAAAAATCTGTGTACCAAAGAATATAACACTCAGCTCTTATTCCCGTATCCAGTTCTTATCAGTTTGTTAAAACTATTAACATCAAGAGCTGGTATATTACCCACACCAAGAGGCCAGACTTGTTATATTTGTTTAACCGATTCCACATCACTTACGCGTTTCACATCTGCATGTGTAACGCTACCCATGACCTCTAAGATCCAACAGTGTTTGCACTGGGTAAAGGGTTCAAACAGAAAATAAAGTGTATCATTAGATTTCTAAATGAGCCATTAGGTTGATGCACATCAAAGATCTAGTTATTTATTGCAAATAGTTCTTCATTAAAACTAAAAACTTTAGGTGAATATTGTATCTACATAAAATAATTGGTCACTATCAGGTTACTCTGTCAGAATGGTTCCATCAACCATAACCAATGTTTTTTCTCGTCAGTAGAAAATATACAGCCCTGGACTAAGTAAAGGTTAAGGCGTTTATAAACAAGAGCACTTCCTTTATGGCTAATTAAATGTATTGGAAAATTAATTACATCAGTGCTAATCATTTATACATATCATATGCATTTCACAAGCCTAAAAAACATTCTGGATTAAAAATTGGCACAATGCTCCGAATAATTGCTAATAGATGACAACGCACTTTTCAATGTACAATCTAGACTAATGTTAGGAAAACCTATAGGAAAATTATAGACAATTCAGATATCAACAGCATGAGCATCTATCTACAATTACAGACAATCCAAAGCATCTGTCTACACAGTTGGGATACAATGAACTGAATCTTCACGGTTATTTAACTTATACTAGTGGTGACAGATTTCGTTGTCTAATGAGAGACTTGTGTTGTCCTTTAACTTTTTAAAAAGCATGAACTGTCTAACAAATAGACATTGTACACTATCCAGTCAAAGTACTAAAGAATTTACTGGTCCTGTTAACAGACAACTGGAAACAGTGCAGTCCAACAAATAAATAGTCTATAAAATCTTTTAATACAAAATCAAAATCTCTTGATATTATCATAGCAGGGGGTTCATCCCATATATATACCTTTATCTTTTCCTCATGCTACTTACATAGACCTGGCTCGACTTGTTTTTTGACAATCTAGATTGGTTTAAGTATAATTTAATACATATATTGTGCAGTCATGGTGCACGACTAGGGTCTGGTGAACTTATTATAAGTCTACCCTGTTTTCGTCTACCCCTTTATATGCCTCCATTCATTTTCCTCCTCGCAGGTGTGAACAGGGAAATATCCCCCTCTCAAAAGTGACAAGCACCCTATACATCTATTACCACTCTGATGCAGAGATAACACTGCAGTTTGACATTGTTCCACTTCACACAGACGACACCTTTACTGGCAAGTGCGCTAGCCTGTTCAAGGTCGTCTGAGGTCATGTTCCTGCTTGGCTCATCTGTCTCCTAAACTGGGTCACTAGACGTAAACACAGTCACATGGGCTGCAATGGAATCTAAAGAGAAATTGGGCCAATATGAACTGAAATTTAAGAGCATCGCGGGGCTAAAATTAGACGCGGTCTCCTTTGGGTAGGCCGTGGTTAGTGTCAAAGTCTGACAACACACTATCATCCTATCACAATAGGATTTATCGGATCGACTCCAATCAAAGACAGACCCTTTGACAAAAATGTGCCAAACAAGTCAATGAAATCAATTAATAAATTTAATGGTCATGTTTTCAAAGGATTTATACATCTGTTAACATTCACTATAAATGTGAGATCTGATTCATACTATTCATATTATTTGGGTTTTCATTAACAACAGAAGCTGACATGGAAACAGCTCACTGAATGAAACAGGGAACTGTTATACTCAAAAGACTGATCCCGTTATCTTTCCGGGTGCTCCTGGTGTTTTTCAGGGCAAACAAATTAAACGCGGAAAAACATTTGAACTATGATAACATTATATGTGGTTGGGAGCCAATGTTTTCGCCTGAATCATGACAAGTGGTGAAATATGCATTTACTGTAATTCATTGTTTATGAAAATTACCCTTCTCTGACCATTTAAAACATTGTGATACCATAATCGTGTAAATTGACAGGATGCCCACTTATGTGTAAAGTACAATATTAGCATAAGAATTACAGAATTTGAACACAGGACAAGGAAGTGGCCCCTCGAAGCATGGTACACAAAAAAATAGATTTGAAATCTAGAAAATGTGTCGTTGTGATTTTCCTACCTCAAAAGAAATATTGAAGACGTTAGGGGTATTTTTGTCTCATCCACATGTTAATAGTGCTATTTACTTTTTATGAAATGTCGGCAGAATCCATCAAATACAAAACTACACTAGAAATAATGTATGGGAATCAAGAGGGGTTGCCTTGTGGACATCCTTGTGGATGTCACACAAAACAGTCTCATCTTTCAGCCGTTACAGGTATTGCAGTTTGAATACAACTGTGGCAATGAGTGTTATGGATAACAGCTTCTTTCTGATATGTATCATACAGTTCATGGCAACTCTGTGCTACTTCGTCAACTGAAGTGGCAAGAAATAGACTCTGAAATGTTGTGTATATATACTGGTTGTTTTGGTTTTTTTTGGGGGGGGTTCGTTTGTTGTTTTACGTCGCACTCAACAATATTCCAGCTATATGGCGGCAGTCTGTATATAATCGAGCCTGGACCAGACAATCCAGTGATCAACATCATGAGCGTCAATCTACACAATTGAGATATGATGACATGTGTCAACCAAGTCAAAGCATCTGACCACCCGATCCCGTTAGTCACGTTTTACGACAAGCATGGGTTACTGAAGTCCAAATCTAACCTGGATCTTCACGGGTCATATGCATAATGGAGAAGTTGTTATCCGTAAGGAATGAACATTTTGTTGTGTTTTCTTGTTTCTTGTTTAATGACACAGTCAACAATATTTCAGTTATATGGCAGCCTTTCCGTGAGTAAGTGAGTGAGTTTAGTTTTATGCCACACTCGGTAATATTCCAGCTGTATGCTGGTGGTCTGTAAAAAATGAGTCTGGACCAGACAATCTAGTGGTCAACAGCATGAGCATTGACCTATGCAAATGGGATATGATGACATGTACCAACTAAGTCAGCGAACTTGACCACCCGATCCCATTAGTCACCTCTTACAACAAGCATGGCTTGCTAAAGACCAATAGACATAGTCTAGTGTCAGCTCAGCAATATTCCAGCTATATGGCGGCGGTGTCCGCTTGTCATGCTGTAGACCTGGGTTTGATTCCCTACATGGGTACAATGCTTAAAGCCCATTTCTGGTGTCCCTAGCCATGATATTGCTGGAATATTGCTAAAAGCAGCGTAAAACTGCACTCATTCACTCACTAAACAAACACAACAGAATCCTTGCACAAAAATATTAAATTCAGCTTTGCCAAAACAACCAACAGCTGGATTCAGAATGTATGTCACATGCGACAAAGCCTAGATGCTGCCTGAATGCCAGGACAGCAATAAAATATTCACAGCACATGTTAATTGATACAGATGATATGGGCTGCCCTGGGTAGTCAATCTGATATCTACAACCCTGGATATATACTGTTATCACTGTAACGCTAGGGCAAGCAGTGTGATTGACGGCTATGTGTGCTGTACTTAACATGAGCAATGATAAATGGTGGTGGTTGGAGCTGAAGTAATATTGAAAGTTGAGGGACAGATCAGCTGTCACTGCCATAACTTGACCAGGCATATTAAACATGGTTAATGGTCACAACAAATTCTGTAATATGTTATAGGTATGGTTATCTTTCTCATATCCAAACAAACCACAGTATATGTGGAATATGTAATTCCAACATATGTAATAGAATAACTAGATTCCCACATAACCTTGTCATCCATGAGTGTGCAGAAAAACAAAATGATGCATGTAACTACTAAATAAACAAAATTGGAAAATGTGTGTGCTATCTACAGATGGGAAAATGTGTGTCATCTATAAATGGGAAAATGTGTGTGTCATCTACAGATGGGAAAATGTGTGTCATCTACAGATGGGAAAATGTGTGTGTCATCTGCAGATGGGAAAATGTGTGTGTCATCATCTACAGATGGGAAAATGTGTGTGTCATCTACAGATGGGAAAATGTGTGTGTCATCTACAGATGGGAAAATGTGTGTGTCATCTACAGATGGGAAAATGTGTGTGTCATCTACAAATAGTACACCAGGTAATATCTACAGGTAGTAAAACATAACATTGAGAGACAGCAAAATGTGTGTAATAGCTACGAACAGTTAAATGTATCTAATATCTACAGAGAGTAAACACGGTAAAATGTGAAAAATAAACAATAGGTCAGTGTGTGTGAATTCTCCTGACAGTAAACCATGTGTAATGTCAACTAGGACATGTATAGTGTGTGTAAAATCTACAGATAGTAAAACATGTAATACTACAGAAGATTTAAAGTAACATCTATTAATAGTAAAAAGTATCATATCTACAGATAACACAGTTTAGTGCACAGATGTCAACTGTTAGTGCTATATAGTTGCATGCAAACCTTCTTTGGTGGGTCTATATTCATACCATGAGATCTAATGATGGAGTGAATTAGGTTCTAAACACAGTTAGCACTCAAACAGGGATACGTCTTGGACCTACTCCACAAAGTGATCTTAGCACTACACCAGGCATAATTCTATTTCAGACTTTGTGTTAGGGCAGCCATTGTACGAACATCACTGTTCCAACACACCCTGCATAGATGTCCAATGGGCCGTGGACTGACTGACTGAGTTTGGTTTTACGCCGCTTTTAGCAATATTCCAGCAACATCACAGCGGGGGACACCAGAAATGGGCTTCACACATTGTACCCATGTGGGGATTCAAACCCGGGTCTTCGGCGTGACGAGCCAACGCTTTAACCACTAGGCTACCCCACCGCCCCAATGGGCCGTGGAGAGTGCGATCAATGGATCCAGCTGGTCTTCACTGATGGCAGTCATTCATGCAAGTATTACAGAAGCCATCGTTACCAACCAATCTATGTTTTAGTCACCTCCAGGATACTAGGTACTGTTTTGCCAGAAATCATCAACTACATCTTTCTAAAGGTTCGCAACCACCCAATGGTTATGTAAGAGTTACCCAAATTATCCTTGTAACAATGGAAGAGCTGAATGATGAAAATTCTTGAAAGCTGTGACCAATATTCTGAAAGTCACATCATGAACAATGCACTTTGTCGGAGCAGGTTGTCAAGCAATCATATTAGTAACCAGGCCAGACCTTGTTATCACAGGTAAGCTTTTATGACAAGCATGGTGTACTAGGTACTAGGGCTGCAACGAATACACTATGTGGCGAATATCATACGCATCATGAATATTGGGTAACAAATATGAATAATTATTCACGAATACATATTGTAGTTAAGTGATGGATGTACAATATGGAACGACCATGTTGACAGTTTTGATTTGTCACAGCAATAACCAGTCATCTCATGACACTCAAATTTGGTATGTAATAGTTATAATTGACATTACCATAGATTCCTAGTTTATAGGTACCTAGTAAGGCTGTAACGATTCACTTGCATATTCGGTGAATCGAACCGTAGCAAACTAACATGACTTGGGCTACTGCAAGGCTAGTACATATTCCATTACTGCATATCTCACTTTCAAAAAGTACACAAGGGTTCAAGTAAAACATGCTCCCTTAAAAAAACATAAATATTCATTAATATTCGGTTCTGGTGACCACGAATGACGAACTGAATTCATGAAGGGCTACGGTTCGATTCACCAAATATTACAGAATCGTTACAGCCTTACTAGGTACCTATAAACTAGGAATCTATGTAGAGACAAACAACAGGTGACACAACAGCAAACGTAACAAAGCCGTACCTTCTGTGACTGCGTCTTTCCATCAAGCCCTGTAACATTTCCTCCTGTGTTTTCTCCTCTGTGTAACTGGGGCAACGACTGGGCACGGAACAGTGGGGAAGGGCTTTCCACAGCTCCCCCAAATCCCCCCAGACCGCCAACGGGTCCTCCAGGTCCCCCAACTTGTCCTCCTGGTCCCCCAACTTGTCCTCCTGGTCCCCCAACTTGTCCTCCCAGTCCTCCTGTTCCCCCTGCCCCGAACAGTGTCTGCTGCATGGCTCGCATCTGGACCAACTGACTTATCCTCCTCTTGAGGCTCAGCTGCGCATCATTGGGAGTGACTGCATCGGGTATGCCTGACCTTCTGAAATCACCTGGCGCATTGTCCTGATTTGGGTAGAACATCGACATGTCCCCACCCCCAGGGTACCCAGCCCTTCCCTGCATGCCCACAGCCCCTTGACTCCCTACCATGCTGTTGAAGGAAGGGAGGCCACTAGGCAAGCTCACCGGTCCCGCTTGGGAACTGGCGCCCTGAAAACTGTGACCTGCCAATGCTGCAAGGTATGCCGGGTCTTGCATGGCATCTACCATTGATCGGGCGTCCGTCATCCCCGGGCGCCCCCACCCAACCTCAGCCTGGGTTCGATCCTGCTCCATAACATCACCTTCAACTCATCCCACACTGAAACACAAACAAACAATACTTAATCATCATGTAAATGAAAAGCCTTCAATGCAGATTTCAAGCAAACCATCTTTAATACTTAAAGAGTGAGTGTTTAGTTTTACGCCTGTTAGCAATATTCCAGCAATATCACAGCTGGGGACACCAGAAATGGACTTCACACATTGTGCCCATGTCGGGAATCAAACCTGGATCTTCGGTGTGACGAGTGAACGCCTTAACCACTTGGCTACCCCACTGCCGTAATACTTAGGAACAGAGCCTGTATCTATTCGCACCCTCCTGAAAGGTGACATGAACATTCGACACTGAAGTGAATATCCATTGAGGCAAGGGGCACCAACTGACTTATACTACTTGGACCACAAATGTGATAAACTTTGTGGAACCATGAATCAAATCTTCCAACCTCTGCACAATGCATGTGTAGGTCTTATGAAGAGTAACAACATGCGTTCAAACAATAGATGTAACAGAATTAAGGATTAATCTACATGTCAAAAGAGTGACAGGAGAAACTTTTCCATCAAAGTTGACTGTTTCTCCCTGCAGGCAGAAGATTGGAACCTGGATGGCAACGGATCAAAAGTCTCACGAATTTAAACTTATCCAGGCATATTAATATATTTCAAGAAATGTATTGTATATAAAACATTACCATTAGCATAACATACAAAATTGTGATAATGCTGTTTTACAAATTGCACACTTTGTTTCAATACTGATAAATATTTTTTTAAAGCACAGCATATGGACCCAGCATTGATGTGTACGGACTGTGCAAGTTTAGATATTTCAGTACTACATGACGTGTATGAAGAAGAAGGAAGATTCTATGAAATTGTTTGAAATTGAGAAAGGAATAATTGTAGACTGGTCTATGAACTGTGTTCATATTAATCAGTTTGATGCATAGCTACAATATGTATAAAAGAAAACTATAACAAATTGTTTGAATTTCATATTATTTCCTTGCCCTCTCTATTTTTTAAAAAATTAGAAACATATAAAACTACAACAGTCATAAATAATGAAAGGATTATTTTTCAAAAATAATTGATCAAATTTCAAGTGAATTAATTTATCTGGTTTACAGTTTTTCATAAACTGAAAAATATAAACAGTGTCGTGATATGACCAGTATCCTGTTTCCATGGTTACTGCCCTGATGATGGTAATCATGATTGACCCTGTTACCCAGTATCACCTGATAAGGTACCCCTGATAAGCGTGCATCTTGATTCGGCTACTACCAAACAGGCTCAGCATCTTATCCGATCCTCGCCCTGGTAACATGACACTTCCAAGCTGAATATTCCCCTACAGAGTAGTCTTATTTATTTCAAATTGAAATTTTACAGCCATTATTATATAACAAAATGAGCTTTGATGTCAAGTTGGACTAAGAAAAAATCACATTTGTCCAAAATCAACGATACTTCACCTTTAATTAAAACCACTGACTCCAGTCAACAATCAATAGTACAATGTAGTAGCGCCTTGAGCATGTACTAGTTGCGAGGATATGTGCGTTATATAAATATCCTATAATAAAAATAATTAAAATAGAAAAGTAAAACATCTTTTCACTATTGTATATTACAAAATATCAGTGAATCATTAATTTGAGAGCAAAATTTATGTTACGTTAAGCTTGTCAGTACTAGTAGGGTTCAAGGTCATCCCACAGCTTGCAACACGGGGCTACATCAGGCAGACAGCTGGAGAGGTGTTCACAGGGCTTTGTTTATGATCTGTAGCGTGTTCTAAAAATAGACTCTGGCTTTCCCCTTTCTCGTATAAGTTTCGTAAGACAGGCTAATTTGGAAACACATATTCTTCAGTAAGATTCAACATATCTGGACAATCAAACAAGTATGTGAATAAATGTATCTAGTGTTGGTCTCTCATGAGTAATATTTATGTGTTGATGTGGAAGTTACTTCCAAAAATGCCAATGATTCCAATTCATTCACATCCACTTGGTTCCAACAAATGAAAATCACAACAATTAACATATAAAGAAATATACAATTCAATATCTTCAAATATGTTCATGGTAAGTTATCAGTCTTAAAGCGATACCTTCATTACGTTTTGATCTGGTACCTGTTTTGGCTTGAGACTTCAGAGTGCATCATAAAGGTTTCAACGACAAAGCAATGTAAGCATAAAGACTCTGATAATGCTGCTCAAACACTTACAAAATCATGGAACCAAAACATCCACGTTTCCATGATATTGTGGTATGCCCAGGGCTCCAGATAATTGTTCAACATCAGGAGTATGTACTCCTTATTTTTTCAATACCGGAGTACTGGAAAAACTAAAGAATACATTAGAGTACTGAATGGAATTTAATGGCGTGTCGGTACTCTTGTGTTTCGTTTCATATATGCACCACAACATTGCTAGTCTTGTGTAAACAGGTCAATAAACAATAAAACAATACTTTTTAGGATAAATGTGTCTGTAAATGATTCTAAGACCGTACGCCATGGTGTGTATCTGCTACGTTTTCTAAATTATTTCCTACCGTATTGTGCATATTTTTTATCCGTACATACGCCGATACGGCCCTTATCTGAAGCCCTGATGCCAAATATATTTTTGTTACCATTGCAGTAACAGATTTCATAAATATTTTTGTCAGATTATTGGAACATACAGCAACTGCCCTTGGTATGATTTGTCATTAAACAGTAATCACTCACTTACTCATGACTATCAGTCTGCGACATTTACATTCCTTGAGACCGCTAATGGTTTATTAAGTCAAGCTAAATATACCCTCCTCATCGCTGCTGTTCTGGGCGAGCTGCGGTCAGGGCTCACTGATCATCAAGCTGTTTCTGCAAATTAGGGGGTGGGCCTTTAACCACTACACCCACAATTCCACTCAACCAGCAACAATGGAGGTTGGATAATTCTTCAAGATAAGCCTTCACCAGCGACACTGTGGTAAAAGAATATAATGCTCATAACTTTTGCCCAGCTATCGTCACAATATTATTGTGAAATATAGCTTTTAAAATGGAGCTTGGATTTCTTAACAGGTACCGGAAGGAGTGGCTTGTAACAGTTCTGATTCTTCACTTTGGTATGTCTACCTGACAAGGATGTACCTAAGAATATCAATTAAAAAAGTTTGGGTTATTTTTAATTTAGAGCACAATCCCGTCATCATCGTGGCATTCATTGCAAGGAATGTATTTTATACTATGCTATAGACAATAAGAGTGAGTGAGTGAGTTTAGTTTTACGCCGCACTCAGCCTGGGCAGTTTACTCAAATGTGGTTTGATTTAACATGCTAAAGTGTAACTGTGCAGCATGTTCAAACTTTTATAATTACAGAGCAAGAACACAGCATCAACAGAAGTATGATGTTGACATATCAGGGTTTTACATAGCTCTTCGAAACTGGGAGTCGAAACTGGGAGTCCTGTGGGCATATTTTTTTAGAGTCTATTTCCAAAATTGGGAGTCCATCAACTTGCATGATAAAGATTAGGTTATAATATGTGTTACTTTCAATGTCATTGGAATAATGATTGTAAATAGAATGTTTATATTTTAATATGGGATATCATTACAAACTCATAAAGTTCTTTTCTAGAAAAAATTATATTGCGTCCACAAGGGCACACAGGATTTTAGTTTGGGGGTACTTCATCAAATTTCTGTGTCCAATACACAGAATCACGCATCCCGTAAAACCCTGGACATATGCACTTCAACTGTTCTGATCGAACAGTAAAATACTCAGACACTGACTGCATCGGTGCTTAAAACAGAGTACAGTGTTGAAACACAGACTGCAACCGTGCTTAAAACAGAGTACGATGTTGAAACACTGACGGCATCTGTACTTATCAGAGAGTACAATGTTGACACACAAATGTCAATCAGACCACAAAAATGGAGGAATGACTGCGATTCAACCAAATGGAATTTTTTAAAAATCAAATGACTTTTGTAATTATGGATCATAGAATCTTGTAATTAATTCCATTTAAATAAAAAATGATAAAAGTAATTCACCTTTATAATAGTCAGTTTAACATAGCACTTTCACAAACTGAGGCATGCACAAAGAGCTAAAAAAGCATTAAATATTACTTATTCATATAATTCTGATATGCTTACATTTCGACCTTCTATTTCAGGACTAAAGAGCCACCTACTCCATCTACATCATTGGAATACTTGGAAATACATTTCAGTGAGATCAAACTTGACCAGGACAGCTCTGTCAGCATCAACCTGAAGTTGCTGTTTCTCTCATTGGATGCCTACATTCAAACTTAAAACCAGGTCAACAGTATAGTAAGGAAACGGGAAATAGAAGGTAACCACGTTTCTCAACATTTGTCTTAAGCCAGGAGTTTGTTTAATTCTGCAGAATTCAGTGGCAACAGTCACCAAATGAATATTCAAATTTCAGTCTTTAAGGCATTCAACAACTGAAAACATTTCAATTCTATTTTTTTAAATTCAAATTGCAAGACTCGATGAACACTGACCTACAATTTGCAATCTGCGATGTTCTATACAAAACTCATCAAAATTCATCCCAAACTGACAACTACGTTCCAATTACCTTATAGACTCCCACCTGAAAGTCTTATTTTGTCTAAAAGATCCATCCACTATTAAGTTGAACTGTCATCTGAGAGTTTGGCAATCGGAACACAAAAGCTTTGTTTACGATCCACAGCGTGGACTAAATATAGATTCTCTGGCTTTCCCCTATTACACGTGACCCAGTTTCAATAATAGGTCATATTTGGCACAAATCCCAACGCCTAGGCTTTGCCTCCACTCATTATATGCTCAGAAATTATGGTAAACAACTAAATTTAACTTTTTAACAATCTGAATTTGTCAAAATAAACTAAGACATGTTGTCTGTAAGTATTTCAGTCGATGAACCTTTAACTCACTCGTATTGGCAACCGTCTTATTGGGTCATCTAAGATAATCATTCTTAAATCCCGTGATTTTACATAAAACCTACTGCCTGTCAAACCGTACAATGTTTTTTTCAATAGTCACCACAGAATCCATCGCGAAAGTGCGTCCGTCTCCTAATTCTCTTGGCCCAAATATGTAAACAGATTTCCTAGTCTGGGGAGAACGTATTTTCACAGAAGAGAGACATTTCTATGTAGAATACAAAGTAATGAACCCTTACGTTCCAAAGTTCAGTATTTCATAATTTCAATATTTTAAAACATAAATATATTATTACACCCATTTTTTAACATTGTATTTTAAAATTCCACATGCATATTTCAACTTGATCATCATAATATTTCAACATTTCCTATGGGCCCATATATTTTTTCATCAAATATTCTTAACTTCATTTTTAACTTGTATGTTTTGATTTTGTAAGGTGACGCTTCATACTGTAAAAGAATATTGTATTTTTGGTAGAATATTGAAGCATAACAGTGACACACACATTACTTGATTTTCATATTCCTCAGCTACTTGTCACCCCTGTATTCTGCAGCAGGACCAAGTAGTATGACCCACATTTCCGGGTCAACGCATACAGATGCAGATAACAGGATGGAAAATAAACCCCTCAATCATAAAATGCTGTGCAAATACTGTTCCGAACATGTTCTCAGTTTCATGTGACTATATCTGATGCAATTTTCAAATCAAAATACCCTGATAATTATTTTTTTATGCAACATGATTTTATCAGTCACTTGTGGTTTCTACAAAAACATTTCACAGAATCTGTCAACTTTTTATAACATAATGTGTTTTAATTGACAGAATCTTCATGATTTTAAGTGTGGCCTGCTTTCATCAACTCTTCTAGGGCAAATCTGCTTGTAGACTAAAACATACCCTCACGCATGACTAAATTGTGCCCATGACTCATGAAAATAATATGCACTGAGTCATAACGACTCCTGTGGTTTCATATGCTATGTGAATCCTGTTTATTCAACCAACCTTGAGGCTTACTCGTGAAGATCCGGGTTAGAACGGATCTTCAGTAACCCATGCTTGTCATAAGAGGTGACTAACAGGATCAGGTGGTGAGACTCGCTGACTTGGTTGACCCAGTTGTGTAGATTGATACTTATGATGTTGATCACTGGATTGTCTGGTCCAGACTCGATTATTTACAGACCACTGCCACATAGCTAAAATATTGCTGAGTGCAGCCTAAAACTACACTCATTCACTCCTTGAGGCAGACTGTCATTAATTGTGGTCTTAATAGTGATCACAGACAACTATCAGCTGAGAGGGTTATCGGAAAATAGGGTATCAGAAAAAAATTAACATTACTCTAAACTAAATACAAGCCACTAAACCGTTTCCATATTCATAGGAATTGTCTAACAAAAGCAGAGACCAATGTATTTTTATAGCCCTATCACGTACAGGTGTCTCTGATCACGATCACATAGTCATGATACCAGGTTTTGGCGAAAAGATGAGACAGAATCACTGGCAATCATCAAACATACATGCAAAGGGAATGTTTATGACTTATTTTCAAATTCTTAAATTTTATCAGAAAAAAAGTTGTTTCGTAATGAAACGTTTGTCTCATTACATCTCAACTAAAATTATTGGACTTAATATGTCAATTTACTGCAAAAAAGTATTTTACTGCAGACAAGCCTTGTGAGGACTGGATAATTACTTGTTCAATGCGTAAATATACTCATGCCAATAATGGTTGTCACCCCCTTCAATTCTTTTAATTGGAGAGGGGGTGTGGGGTGTGGGTTGAGGTGGGGGGTTGAGGTGGGGAAGGTGTGTGTGTGGTTTTTTGGGGTTTTTTGTGACCACCATCATTGGCATGAGTATATAACCATGAACTTATCTAGAATTGTAACCTTAGTGCCCCGACAGGCAAAATGGGAATGTTGAATTTTAAATATTTTTTTCATTTTATGTGTATTTATTTTCTAATTAAGAGGTAATTTAACAGCGTATTTTGAGATTGCATTCAATGTGAAAATATATAAGAAAGCATTCCTCATTAAAGGTTTTGATATCAGTGAAATAAAAGTGATCTCTCCAAAACATAAGTATTAGGTATTCGTTAAACATATTTACGTGAATTGGGATTTTTTATTCCATTTGGGAATTGTTAAGATATTATTTTAGACTTTGGACTAAATATGCCTCATCAGGTCCAGATTATTCCATGCCATCTGCTGATTGGTAATTTTAAATACGTCTGTACACAAACTGTACCAAACATCTGACAATAACGGATTTGCAACAACTTCCTTAGTACAAGATTGTTTCCTGAGTAGGCATCGTTGAGAAAGTATTTCCACACATCATGGTCATTGTGACCCAGCATATCCTGGAGGGACACACCCCTACAAGAAGCCCTTACCTCCAACCTGGCATGAGTGAGTGAGTGAGTTTTGTTTTATGCCTCACTCAGCAATATTCCAGCTGTATGGCGGTGGTCTGTAAATAATCAAGTCTTGACCAGACAATCCAGTGATCAACAGCATGAGCATCGATCGGCGCAAGTGGGAACCGATGACATGTGTCAGAGAGCCTGACTACTCGATCCCGTTAGTCGCCTCTTACGACAAGCATGGGTTACTGAAGATCAATATTCTAACCTGGATCTTCACAGGTAGCTGGGCATGAAGCTATAACAATACATTGTATGACTTCTAAATGTGGATCTAGACCACGTGTATTAAGATTTTATTTGCCTGTGTGTTTCATGGAGGCTTGGACCTATGAGAGGTGTGTGTTTGATGCTAGAAATATGCACATTCAGCGTCACTAGTCTGAAACATCAGCCACTTTTCAAAATCCAGTCAGCAGAGTAGAATATCTTTTATTCCAGGAGTTAAAGTTTCAAGGGTCCATATGGGGACCAAGAGTCTATCTTACAGTCCATAATATTTTCTCTTCCAACAAGCCCTATCTGTAACACAAAAGATCTAAATGAAGGAAGTCTAGATGTATCTTTGACTCAGAATTTCCATTTCACTGATCATATATATTATATATTTTCAGAGACTAAGCATTAGTCTATAGAAGGAACATCCGTGAAAGGTCTGCAGGAAATATGGGGCAAGTAGACTCAACGGTTTTAGTCACTGCGTTGCATGTTTGTTATTTGTTATGTCACAAGACACATTTGGGAATCAACAACAGTTTTTTCAAATCAAGAAAGTTAACATGGCTTCTGTTCCTGTAAAGATTCCATTCAACTAATGGCAGATGCCATCATCTTGTTACCGTGGAGATAATGCCACATTTACTCCTGAAGACTCTCTCCAGGCTAATGGGTGCCGTGACCAGGCATGCTTGGTGAAATTGAAATAGATTCTGTAATAAACTTTGAATACATCCACTGCCATTGATCTGTTTTCTCAATGTTTGATTTGTTCTGAACATAAATCAATAAACAGAATTAAATCTGATGGCTTGGAAAATTATTTGCTTGCCATGAAAATGCACTCAGAACCACTGACCTCATTAGCTGAAGTAGGGGACTATAAACTGATTTATTGTTGGTACAAAACTCATTCAATGCTATTTGATCACAAATGTTCTTCAGAACAGTTCAGTTTATAAAAGACTGGTTCCAAGCTGTCTTTGTGCTGCAACTCATTTATGATATGCAGAAATGGATCTTTTCATGATCTAATCGGAGAAATCAATTTTGAGCCCAGACCATCCCGAAACAGTCCTTAATCTAGTGATGTGGCTTGGTGAACAAAATGGAAATCAAACAGAACGGCAAACAAATTACAAAGTCAGTGGGGGTGAGATATAATCCTGAAATGATTCACCCAGACCTCGACTCGTTTCGATTTTCGATATTGGAACCTCGATTCGATCATCTTTGATTCGATTCTTCATACAACCAAAAACATCAGACATCATTTAACTCTCAGAGTCGGCTGAAATCCACCGTCAACTTGGCGATGTCTACTAACAACTATTCTCATTGATCACGTTTCGCCTTATTTCAACGCTCGAAACTCCTTGAGTTGGAGTCAAAATTACATTCTCACTGCGTGGAATTAATTTAAATAGATCTTCAATTATCGAATCGAAATAGTGATAATGGTTATCGAAAATTGACACTAAGGTGTCAGATTCGGTTTTTCGATGAATCGAACCAAATCGTTGCAGCCCTATTATAATCTAACATGGCATCGGCATTGTTTCCCCCAGAAACCAACCGATGAAGTCAACAATACACTACTGATGTGACATATATAGAACCTAAAGGTTCAGTCTTGTGCTGGCTGTCCTCAAACAATGGAGGCTTCCTTGACCTTGAAAACCATGTCAACCACAAGATGGTGCATGCATGAATACAGACAATACCAGGACTTGGGTTACTGGGATCGCTCAAAATATCAATACTCAACTCAACCAAGACAAGACAAAAATACTGGTACATATCTGGGTCCACTGGACCAATAGACAAAAAGTGGGATCGACATGGATCAAACCTAAAATTTTAAAAATACTTCAGTCAACATAGAGAAAACCTAAAATCTTAAAAATATCAAGGTCAGACCAAACCCGACAATTGATAATTACCAGGGTTGACCAAACCTAAAAGTTAATATACACCTGTATATATGTCAGGGTAGAGACTGCAATCTGGTAGAATCGAGATTCTAGTAGAGATTGCGATCGGAGTCTCTACTGGTAGAGACTACGATTATATGGAATAACCTATGCAAGCAAGTGCAAGCTTATGCAAGCAAGTATAATAAGTGGGGATAATGTTTTCCTATTATTTGCCAGTTATAATTGAACTTATTTATTGTTATCTTGTTAACTTTATTTGTTAAGTCTGTTTTGGAGTATGGTATTTTGTTTTTGGTTTTTGAGTGGAGTCAAAATTTGGCAGCTTGGTCTCATGATGTAAATACAGTGTTGCAAACCATTTTTATTTTATATTTTGATATTGTTTACAGTGAGGTGTTAAATGTTTGTTATCAAAGTCTCAGTTAAAAGTAGGAAGTTCATTCAGATGTATTTCAAAACTTATGATCAGTAATTGTTATAAAAACACTGCTTTCCAAAGAGTGAATTTATAAGCTCGCGTCATTGTTGAGGCAATGCTCGACCTGGGCTGTTAGTTCAGATAACTTTACTTTAGTTTAAGTTTGAGTACATATTGTAATTTATTGTTGTTTAAAACTACTAAGTTTAATGTTTGCCAGTTAACTGCTCAGTGCTGATTAAATACCTGACCTGCCTTACTTGGACCTGTTGTTATTAAACAATAACAGTTGATCTCTTGATGAAAGAAGTTGACTCCCAAAACATGTCCATGACTCCCTCTCATGACACCAGGGAGTCATGATGACTCCTAAATTTTTATGCCTAGGGCAAACACTGATTATACAATTGATCTTGCTTGTAATCAGGTTTGTAATATATGTATATATTGTAATATGATCTCTCAAGTCACATTTGTATTTTTAGTCCTTAATATAAAATGCATAGTACTGTTCAGAAAAAGTGTCCTTGTTGTTTACCCACAGATCACTCGGAGACGATTGCAGCCTCTACTAGTAGGATCGGAGTTTCTACCAGTTGAATTGGAAAATGTACTAGTAGAATCTCCGATTCAACCAGTAGAGACTACGATTGCAATCTCTACTAGTAGGATCGGAGATTCTACAAGTAGAGACTCCGATCGCAGTCTCTACTGGTAGAGACTCCGATCGCAATCTCTACTGGTAGAGTCTCCGATTCTACCAGATCGCAGTCTCTACCCTGACATATACATTTGATTCAATTTCCGCCACTTTGAGTCAATTTGCACCAAACCAAATACCTGGGTTGCAATGGACTAAAACTAAAAAATGATAACTACCTGTATTGACAAAACCTAATAACTGATAAATACCTTCATTCAGCTACAACGAAACAATTACTTCTGTTTCATACCATTGTAAACATTCACGTGGCACCTACTTCAGATTTGCAGATAATTTCCTTAAACACAGAGAACAATCTTTCCTTACATCTTAGCCTATGTCATCTGACATACTTCTCCAGCTGACAGATGCAAGATCTCCAGGTAAACCCAGGTGTCTGCAATGCGATAGCCCTTGCATGACTACACCTGAATGATAAAGACTCATTTATACATTGTAAAGACCCATTGAGCATACCTACAGCTTTTGTCTACGTCAACCCCACATAGCTCCAACCATAGCAACATAAATATCTCGTTTCCTTAACCTTTCCAGACCAATGCAAATGAACAGGGGCCAGTGAGATCTGTGTTGCCCTGGGGAGCACACATTTGTGTCAGCGGACTGACTGCGTGAAGGTCAAGCTGTTGGAGTCGTTTCTTACGGTGTCACAAACATGTCTATAAGGAAGTGTACACCTTATCTGAAGGTAATGAGATCCAGCTACAATCTAAGACACATTGAACATTTGGTCTGTTGAATGTTATTGATAATGATCGCAATTACAATGATGATGTTTTCATCAAAAGGAAATAAAAGCAACAAAACAACATAAAATTCCATCATAAGATGCCAATTATACCAAGCATAGATTTATGAATCACTATCAAATAATGACAATACCAAGTAAGTAATATTTAATTTGTCTTATTTTCATAAGAAATTTGTTGTTCGAAATTTTAAGCATGCATGTTGCACCTGTGTACGAGACTGACCAAATATAAGGTACAGTTGAAAACATTTAAAAAACACTACTAACTTCAAAGTAACCAACACTGTTGCAGGATTTTTGGTTAGTTTTAAACCCTCTTTTGAAATAGAATGTACAGGGCCTGGAATTGGAACCCCAAGATTATTTGGTTGAATAATGATGTAGTTCAATACAACCACATGTCAATTTCACACAGAGGCATGGAGGTTTGGTCAGCTTTCATTAACACTATTACACTTCATTTGTAACATCAACAATCAGTTGGCTAATAACTGATAACGCTCACAGGATCTACCGGTATTATATACAAGGGTTCAAGGTCACTTTCTTGAAACATTACCTACCTGTGTAAAGAACAGAGTTCCTGGCCTAGCTTATTGTGCCTGGTTTGAGTCTATTCATCAGGTGCCAGTCATAAGCTTCAAAGAAAGCTTGAACGTATTATTTCATAACAGCCATTGCAACAGCCGTTACGGCCTTGTTACAAATGACACGGCCGAACTGTAAGCTATAAATAGATCTTGGTTTTTCCTGTACGCTTATATGACATACCTGTATGACTTGGACTTCCCCTACAGGTTGGTTTGGGTGCCAGTCGAGATTCGTAGCCTCGTGATTTAATGATAAACGTGTTACATTGCTGTTTCCACAATAAAATTCCCCACCATCCCCATAACAGTAAACTTGCAATGAGCACTATTTTTTTCACACATGGCGTAGAAAGAATGATCAAGTTATGTTGTACGAGCTGTGAAAATTCTTACGAAAATTGATCCATGTAATGAAAGGAAAACATTGCAGTGATTTTGTATGAAAAGGTTGATGTTGAAGAAACGTAGGCTTTTATCACAAAGAAATACTTTGCAAATTCTGTTTATTTAAAGTCACAGATTTGTCTTTCATTATTTCTTAAAACGGTGCTTCAACACAACTCAGTATATTTCATGGAACCAACACCAGAGCTGTATCAAATGAAGCCCACCCAGTGAGTTGCTCTATCACACGATGATGACCTTCAGATTTTGAAATATGGAAATCAATTTTTCGTAATTTCTGCATAAATTGCACATTTTCAGAAAGATGTTTCTCCCTGCACACAACACACCACTTAACCTGGCTTAGTAAACTATTAACAGAGTGCCTCTCGTATGCATTCCCATAGCTAAGCGGGACAAGTACAAGTGAATTGATTCTCTTGCGTTGATGTTTGTGATGACTCATCTGCTAATGCTGAGCCCTTGTGAATAACCTCAGAGGGGATGTGTCAACTCACGATGCAGTCTTGTGACATAATTTCAGCACAAAATTATGATTACAACCAGTGTGCGAAATAGTTTCAAATTTTACTCGTCATTCGGGCAAGCTATGCCTGAAAGTTACTAGCCCACAAAATAATCCACCAGCCCAAAATTTGTATGTAGAAACTGAGCAAAAGATTATATTTACAAAATGACCCCATGAAAATTCACTAGCCACTCACTGGATTTTTACTAGCCACCGGCTAGCATGCCAGTGGATATTTCGCACACTGATTATATCCACAAGGACAATCCTTTCTCCACTACACCATCATTCCTTCCACCAAAGGATAATCTCTCAGTCAACATGTCCTGTTAACAATCTGAGTAGCATCATAATACTCTACATAACATGACATACTGCTTTCTCTAATTTCGTTAAGTCTGTGTAAAGTAATAGATTGATACTGTACATATATGTATAACTACCTCAAATCATTGTGAATATCAGGATGTTGCTGTTAATACAATGTTAATCAGTTTCTAATCACTCATCGCAAAATGTTCTGAGTGACAGCTGAATTTACATGCAGCTGGTAATGGAATGAAAACAAAAGCTGTTACTATGTTAATACCAAAATGTAAATTATAATGATTATTCACAAAAGAATTTACACTGTGCGTACTTTCATATTTGCTGTTGGGGTGTTATATAATAGTCATCCTTCATTCTTGAAACCTTTAGTTTGGATTTTAGCACATGTAAAATCGTTTCATATAAGGATATATAATGGAGATTAAATTCTGCTATTACATGTTTCTTAATCATGATAATGATAAACATCAAAATAAAAATTATAATCAAACTTGATGCAGACAGGTATACAGGTTCCTTATTCTACAAATCTTCTCTACGTCAAAACTGCCTCGGCTGAAAACTAAACCGAAGTACATTCTCGCCCTGATTTGTATTTCAAGTACCGCAATGCAATATTGTCCTTCAGATTCCAACCTAATCAATACCGCAGCGCAAAATAGTGAAAAAATACTCTAAATGGAGTCATTGTGATAAGTAAGAAATGACTTTTCTCTTCTGAGTGCAGGGGATGGTTAAAAGTAACGCTCGTGTGTGAACTAGACAAAACAAGGTCACAGCCTGCTGGTAAAGCGAAGGTCGACGCTTGGGCTAAAAATAGTCCCGCTGGGTTTTCCCAAATCAGCTGTCATATATCGATGAGGTTGTTACTATGTAACTGCGTAAATGTTAACGGATATGTTATCATTCTTTCCTAATCAATGATATTGGAGCTCTGTTTAGTATGCTGGTATGTCCAGAATGGGTGTGAAGTATTCAGAAATAATACTGGTAAATAAATGGCTACGGCTTCATGTTCTGCCTTTGATTAATTGGGTTTAATGCCGTGGCATGGGAAATAATCGTGTCAGAGAAAAGTAAAGATAATTTTTAACCTCAAGAATAGGAGAAGCTTATTATGCTGGACTCCAAAGGAAATCTGTCCCATACATTGACAGGGTGAGACGATAACTTGTCTGATCGAGGTACTAAACTCGTACAATTTATCAAAAGGACTAGGCCCTTTTCTTCAAACTCAAATTATGCAACATACACCTATGGTCCAAATTCACTGATGCTCATGACGTCGATCACTAGATTGTATACTACAAACTTGATTGTTCACAGACCAAAGTCATATAGCTGGAATATTGTCGAGTACAGCATTAAATAACGAACAAAAACAAACATGTGGAAAAATAGCTAAGTAGATGTCGTGATAAAATCCAGCAACCCTGCAACTACCCTTGACAGATATATGACTTCTGATTACTGAAACCGAATTATTTCGTAAATTCAACAGTTCAATTAATGTGAACAAAAAGCATGACTTTTCTGTGATAACCAACTGCCACATTCTGCTCGCGGGGAGTGTCATTTCCTGCTTGTGTGGATTTATTTCCTTGCTGACCTGTGCCATTGTTGCAAGATACAAATCATGTCACAGGGACAATAAAGTACTGCATTTTTTTTATATATCGCACTGGAGAAAAAAATTCACTGTTGTATGATCACTATTACACAGGTACAATATGACAGAAATAATGATGTGCAGTTGTATTGGTTTGGGAATCCAAGGAAACCTTTATCAACATTGAAAATTGTAAATCCTGGAATATATATATATAAGGACTGCACGTATACCGGTATATTACAATGCACTTTTCAAATGATACATATTGCAATATTTTTTTCTGAGAACCGGTATATTGGGTAAAGAACATATGAAGATTTTGTGATTATCTTTATGGTCTAAATTAAAATCTACACAGACGTTCATTCACAACAAATGTTTTCCTTCGGTATTTAATGACAACACGGCATATTGTAATACTATGAATTGTATAAAAAAGAATTAAAGAATCCCTGCCTATGCAACCTAAGTTTGAGGCTGCTGTTATCAGAACCATAACATGTATGTTTATGCACTTATAATGCAGAAAATAGGATTGACATGCACAATTAGTGTCACTCACTGTCAAGTACTTAAGTTCCCAATATATCGCAATACATATCGCAATATAGGTATCTGAATCACAATTAGCAATACAATTTATTTGCCAATACACAGCCCTAGTATATATGTGTATGATCTACAGAACATTTATAGCTGATAGAAAATGTCAAGTCCTTGTTCAATAAAAATTACAAGAGAATAAGAAATTTGTACGAGTACTGTTATTCTAGACAATTTCAAAAATACCTGAGTGATCTCAGTGCATAGTAACCAATGTTCCAAATGTTAAAACCAATTTCAAAATATTAGGCAAATTAGATTAAGTCTTAAAAATAACACTTGACTTTTGCATGTTTGAGAGCTAGTATTAAAGCCTGTCTTATTTCATACAGTGACACTGACAGTAGCTCTCACTGGCTGGGCTTTCTAAGCAACAGCCTTGGCATACATGTCGTTAAGTTCAGACAGTATGTTAATAAAATGATAATAAAATGTTTTTGGGTTTTTTTTTTAAATCCTGATAGCTACTCTTTTATTTATAAACCTTTATGCTCAACCAGAAACATACCTAAAATATTACGCAATCAATAAAAAAGGTTTTGTTGACGCTATTTTCTCCCTTATCTGTCAACAAACTTCCTCGTCACTGGTAGGGAGACCTGTGATTCAAAGCCGATAGTCACTGGCACAGTATTACAGGTTGTCACTTATTAATACATACGCGGCAATTGTTCATCACTAACCGACTCTTCATTTCAGCGCACTTGCGTTGTAGCACAAGCATATCGCGGCACCAGTTAAAAATAGATCCTGGTTTTCCCCTACACACTAAATATGTCAAGCGCTCAGCCTCTTCAAGTTAAACCTTCAGACCGTCCGTGTGGTTAATATCTTACCTAAACTGTATGGATCGTGTTTTGCTGCGGCAGTAGTCCAACAGTAGTACTGACGGCTTACAGTACGTGCATATCACAAGATCAATAACATTGTCATCCACTTAGGTGACAGCTACTGTGACAGATGTATAATGGCAAATCTTTATGTCAAATCGGTCACTCGCCACTTTTCAAAGAGTTTCTCTCTTGCTTCTATATATTTCCCCACAATAATGTTTCAAATATACAACAGATATAGTATGTACTTTTGAACATCATTTCCAGATATATAACTATTTCAGATAAATTTTATTGACAATATTTTTGGCAAATATTCCAAAATGCTAAAATATTGAAATCAGAAAATAATTGATTTTATTTACTAAAAAACACTTTTAAGAAATATTACTGCTTAAATCATTTATGCTAGAAATTATATTTCATTAGGTATATATTTGAACAAATTTGTTTTCATGAATTTTAGAAACATGCAAAATTACAGCAAAATCCTTTTATCATGCTTATGATATTTGGAGATATTTTCTAATATTAGAAGTATATAACTTAAAAATACAAAATTACTTCTCCCAACACCTTAATGAGGTGATTTCAATGTTCGTGTCTACTGCAGCTTCCTGTCCAAGACACTATAAAGGTGTGCAACTATCATACTTATTTGGCAATTAAGGTCATTATTAACAAGTGTCGGGCCCATCAGCTTACGGTGTCATGGGTCACCTAATCCATTTCAGCTAATTTATTGTTGCCATAGCAATTCACTTGCCCAGTAGCCCTGATTCAATAATAATGACCAATCCGATTGAATCATTGATTGGAGTGTTTGTGGTGATCCAAACATCTCTGAAGCACTCATGAGCATTCTTGACAGAACACATTTCATTAAACAAAGATACTGACAATTGACAATACAGTTACTACCTGAATGTGTTCACAACATATATGTATGTGAATCAATACATTAATATATCATCATAATAATGCTAAACTTGTGAAAAAACAAACTCACAGGTAATCTTAAGAGTCCTCTTGATGTAAAAATTAATATTCCTTCTTCTTTATATATGCAAGTAAAGAGTCATGAACCTAAAAATTATAATAAATTAATATTCATTCGACCAGCTGATGAAAGATCCATTGTAAAACAAGCTTGCTTTGTGTAACATTATGTACAAGAGTAGTCAGCACATATAATCATATAGAAAAAGATACTTTTTGCAACATTGTATCTCACCAAAAGGGGTGTTATATACGATAACACACCAGCTATTTCGCGGGGTTTTCGTGCCTGCTGGAGTAACGTTGAAATGTGTCAGATGTGTATTGCTGAAAGTTGTTGCAAGTTCTATGTTGATGTCAAGCTTTCAACATAAGATAAGCTTTTACAAAGGAAGACGTTTTTTGGCAAGAAAAAGTAAACATTGGCTTAGACCAGGACAACAACCAGTACGTGAACGATCCTAGATTGAGACATGCATTCAATTCATTGTCTGAGGGAGAGACGCTATAAATAGCACTCCGCATGAAATACCTCTCCCGATCGCGTGGGGGAGTTGTACATTTCACTCAAAATCGTGCAAATAACGGTACATTTAACTGAAACGGACGTCACCGAGCAAATCCTGGATAACTGACGCACGTGTAGTTGGGGTATATACATGTGAAATACGCATCTCTTTACCGTAATAAGCTGTCAAACAGTGCAATCTTGACGCATATTCACCCGAGGTCAAGACAACCATATTGAAATAGAGGTAAACAGTGTCCAACGATGGGTAGAAAAATTTCTCGGAACAACACGTATTTTGAAGATTATATACAGGTAGTTTGTACACAGGACGAACAGGGGGTATAGTATTTACCTTTGCAGTTCTGCAATGTCACAAGAAGGCGATCTATTCCTGAACAAAACTCGACCCAGCTCTCTCTCGCTCCCAATGCAAATCGATCCTTACCGAGGCCAGACTGAGAGATCACGTGACCAGCCTTGTGGATTTCCCTCTCGCGCTGAGCGGCACGTTTCTCTGTTCATATAATCATGTCAGTTATACAGATCTCTCGTGAAAAGATATACTAGTATAAGTACTGAAAATCCTTCGAACAATAGCTATTATAGAAACATGAAATAAAACTAATATCACACTTATATTTTAGTTATATATACATATTGCAATGTTCTACAACAAACAAGTTAATTTGATTATTAATGTTTTGTCACGGATGGATTAGTTTGAAAACTGTTTTGATTCAGATTACTCTCATGGAAAAGGTGATTATATTACATAGTAGCCTACGAGTATTTTTAAAAAACTTTATTTGAAATAAATTTATGCAGATGCTTTATGCCAAGTTAACTTTTGGCACAGTGTCTGCTGTTGATCGATCGTGGTCGCACTGGCATGCCGTGATTACACAAAGGCGATAAATTAATCAAAAACATATCATTACGTAGTCTCGGAATTATAACTCATGATTACCTGGCGTCACAAAATTCTTAGTTTGAAAAAGGAGATTGTTAAGCATTTTAATCTCATTGTTATTCGCACAACTGCATCATACTGTATCGTGTATTGTGATATTTTTACACATAAATTGAAGACTCCTGTTTTTCATACCGGTGGCGTCAACGTTACGGAGTCATTGTCTTAAAATAATTCGGGTATGACACATGGGAATATTGTCCCAACTATCTCGAAACTGAGATTTTAAACAGATGGGAAAACAAAAATTACCAACTATGTATTTTTTATATAATTGAAAGAAAATAACTAATGTTAAATATAATTAGGTCTGTTTAACCATCACTCATTCCTGGAAAGGTTTGTAAAAGGTAATCTGTGGCAGGGATTTTTTTTTAAATAACTTGATTTAATGAGGACTAAGGGTAAAAATTGAATTTGGAACCACAAATATTTGGAACAATACATATTTGCCCCGAAAGGGGAAAATCTATATATTTTCGAAGATAAATATGTCTCAGAAAACCATCAGCTGTTGTTTTGTTTATTTTTGTTTTGATTTTGTTTTGTTGTTTTGTTTGTATGACTTAATATTTTGATTTTGTAAAGTTATGAAACGATTTTTGTCAAACTATAAAACCAAGTAGAAAAATCTTTTGGTGCAATGAAGCATACAACTGTATGGAAGACAGCCTCTTGTTGATTGCATACAGCGACGTTTCGATGTAGATTCTGACACCGTTGTCAAGCTAAAAGTGACTATGACCAAGAGATGAGAAGTTGTAGTCACTTTTAACTTGATAACGGTTTCGTTCTATGCAATAAACAAGAAGTATAAATATATATACTTCAATTTTCACTCACTAACCTCTAGAAGGCCGATCAAACAAATCTTTGGATGCTTAATCTAATATATGTAAAAAAAATCAGTTGAAAATCAAATTTATGATCAACTCAAGTAAGAAGTTAAGTTCCCTTTGCTCCTCATTTTATGATGCATTTGAAATACGGCAGTAGACCTTTCACCTGCCCTATTCCGAACCACTCATTGACCTCCTCACACAGGTAATAACTGTGGCACACCATATTGCAGTAGTTACTCGACTAAACGCCTACCTGGAAGAATATCCGGGTTTATTATCGTGTAACCCCAAACTGTTTGTTACAATGTGATATGATACATCACTCATGCATACAGTCCCCATAAGCGTGGTAGGTAAAACTGATATATTAATGATAAACCCATGCACAGATGATTCGCTGGAAAATGCGACACCGAAACGTTTAACGGAGGATTTACGGTACATTTCTATAAGCGAAAATTATGTATATTGTTTCTGAAACTATTGTTGTAACGCAGCATTGTAGGTAAATAATGCACAGATGATTCGATGGAAAATGCGACACCGAAACGTTTAACGGAGGATTTACGGTACATTTCTATAAGCGAAAATTATGTATATTGTTTCTGAAACTATTGTTGTAACGCAGCATTGTAGGTAAATAATGCACAGATGATTCGATGGAAAATGCGACACTGAAACGTTTAACGGACGATTTACGGTACATTTCTATAAGCGAAAATTATGTATATTGTTTCTGAAACTATTGTTGCAACGCAGCATTGTAGGTAAATAATGCACAGATGATTCGATGGAAAATGCGACACCGAAACGTTTAACGGAGGATTTACGGTACATTTCTATAAGCGAAAATTATGTATGTTATTTCTGAAGCTATTGTTCACAGATATTCACAGATAGGTAGCGGAAAGCTTCAATACCCAAACATTTAATAGAGAATTTACAAAAACTATATATCTGCATCGTGCTATATTGAGCATTTATTTTTTAAAGTAATGTTTTACCGCGGCTAAATTCGTTGTACAAAAAGGCCTCTCTCTGAATACACAAGATAGTAACTCAAACCTTTTTAGATCATTTTAACATGGTTTAAATACGGATATATACGAACAATGCCTGTTCTGTATACAATACGGATGTCCGTTTTGTTCAGCTGTTACTTATTCTCTGTTGATACTCAAGTGGTACTATCATATCGCAGTGCCCATCCTTTCAGATTCAATGTAAAATTAGTTGACGGATCTCCATGTGAAGATGTAGCCTTGCTCAAAGGCTGTACCCAATGCTGAGCCCATGGGTGTATAGTAATTCTCAGGGGGGTAGGTGGGGTGGGGGTATCCTTCGAAGAGGCAGGTCCAGATAAGCAGACAGGACCCCAGTCTGTTATTTATTATTTTTTAGAAATTAGGATTGAAACTATTATTTTTTACATTAGAGACGTTTGCAAGTCTAGCGAAAACGGTTAGCGAATATAGTTATTGGCGGTAAACGTCAGATATGCTTTGTTACACTGTACAGAGTCCTCAACGCCACCGTTGTTGTTTTTTTATATGTACAATAACATTTGAGAAATTGAGCTTGTAGAATGTTGAAATTTTTTCGCAGCAGCTCCTTATTTTCATTTGCATTTGTAGTCTGCTAGTATTTTTATATGTTTGAAGAAATGTAAATATATTTGTTTCTTTAATGAAAATGATTTAATTTAAAATGATTTGTAACGAGGAATTTTAACTCTTTATGGCAGCTGTTTTAAAATGACAACTTTAATTACGACTTTCGTTGTCAAATTACGATTTTTTGTTACAACAACGCGCGTGCTTTCAAGCGTCACACACGGACCGAGGTAAGGACAACCTCACACCTGCTTCACGCATTTTATTGATCAACATGCACGCACCTGAGGGTATAGCGTCTTACCTGCCGGACAGGTAACGATACAGGTGTTTGCTGATCACCTGTGTAACAACCAAAACACGAACTGCCTGGACCCGTTCATTGTACCTTGCTTATCTCCAGGCAGAGTAGATCAGTCGAAGGGGATTCTTCTAACCTGTTAATAAATTTGATTTGCCTCGTAGTCATTAAAGATTCATCAATCTCGAGAATCTCGATTCTGCATCTCTTCAAGTGCTAACAGGCATATGGATTCTATAGAGGAACCGGCATTTCAGCTTAACTTAGTTTCATGTTAATGTAAGAGATAAAATGCGGTTTGTATCAAGCATATTTTCTGTTTTTGTTTTTGGAATATTACTAAATGTATATTTATCCGTTTGAATTTCAAAGTTTGCTAAGAGTTTGGAAATTATTGATAAAATAGCATAGAATGTGTTTTTCAACGTTTTTTAACATTAGTAAACCAAAAAATTAAAAAGAATATTATTGATTATTTTTTCCTTCTGAAGATCAAAAAATGTTGACAAAACATTATAAATGATATTGAATATTTTTCTCCATTTGAATATTAAAATTAGTACAGTTGTACGTAAAAGAAATAAGTGTATATTAAATATTGTTTGTTTTATGTATCATAAATGTGCATACAATTACCCGTATGTCCATACGACGTCTCCGGGTGTAGTGGACCTTGGTCATCTACTGTGACAAGCTGTTGTTACATTAGTCAGTACCCCCAAAGCGACCAAGTCTGACCTTTCTAGTAGCCTACATTAAGTTTGACGCCATGGTTGTGATGAGCAGTTCGCGTGACACCTTTCACTGACGGACAATTGGTAACATCCGCCTGGGCCCCAGACCTCAATGCATGGATTATATACTTAGTGTTGACCCCGAGGATATACAACTGAGAAATGAATCTAAAACATTTGACTGTACAAATGTCAAGTGTCTGACTCTTTATTTGGCTGCCATGTCGCCGGACTAATGACCGACTGTATGTGTTTTATACGACGACCCAATTTCAAGTAAAAAATATGCTGATATGCATTTGTGGAGTTTTGATAAAAAAAAAAATATATACATAATAACGATATATAGATGTATTGATCAAATGTAAATAAAAATATATATGACAACGACTTACAGATCTCGATATATCGATAAAAATGTAAATAATAATAATAATAACAACAACATATGAATATCGATATATTGATAACAAAATATACTAATATATATAACGACATATAGATATCGATATAGTTTTAAAAAAGTAAATAATGAGTTATATGATAACGACATATAGATATCGATATACTGATAAAAAAACAATATATAAAATAACGACATATGGGTCGGAATACGCACACGCACATTTCTGCAGCTTTTCTGGGTCCAATCCGGCAGTATGCCGTAATATTAAGTACTGTTTTCATTAATAAATGAAAATACCTCTGGTTAATACAAGAATGATTATATTGTTCATTATGCTGATAATGTAGTTATTTCAACATGAGTAAATAGCATTTATAGAGAAAACAAAACAAAAACATGTTGAATACACAACCAGCTGTTAGTTTATTATAGAAAAACGGATACTGCTGTAGAGTTAACATCTGACGACCAAGCGATCGTGAGAGTCCGCACGTAGGTTGCAAAAGCCTGTTTACGTTTATGCCAGATTTCCCGCGCTTTCCTCACAATTTACAGGTAAACATGCAGTTGTGAACTTTGGATGACCCATGACGTA